CYGAGCGCCAGTTCTTGTCAGTGTCACAGATTGGCTGTTTCCCTCCCTTCTTCTGGCCTACTCCAACACCATTAGCGCCCAGGAYGTGGTGCTGGCCCGGCGCTGAACAGAGCAGGGAAGCTGGGAAGGGTCTGSAGCACAAGTSTTATAAGGAGCATGTGAGGGAGYCGGGCTTGTTTAGCTTGGAGAAGGCTTGCAGGAAGGGTGGGGAGAGCTTAAAAGAGAGTTTAGAAAGGTGGAGGTCGATCTCTCAGGCAAATGGCGAGAGGATGTAGCTTAGGATGTAGCCTCAAGCTGGACCTGGGAAGAGTTAGGTTGGACATTAGGAGAAATTTCTTCACAGAAATGGATTAAACAGGAATGAGATGCYCAGGCAGGTAGGTGGTGGAGTCACCGACCCGAGAGGTGTACAGGAAACACCGAAMGTGGCACTTCATGCCGTGGTCCAGCTGGCATGGTGGCGTTCGGTCCTAGGTTGGACKGGCTGGTCTAAGAGTTCTTTCCTAATCTAACTTACTCTGTGAGGCGCGGCAGTCGCTGTGTGCCGCTTCGGACTTGTTTCCAGGTAGGATGTCGCAGGGGGGCCTGGCGCGGCCGCCGGACAGGAATGACCGTGGCCTGGCCACGCGGACCTCGGGCCGTGCCAGGCTCCCCAGCCCCACGCCCGTCTGCGCCCCGGTGCCGCCCGGGGCCGTGGCAGCGCCCTCGGCCCGGCTGCAGGAGGCGGCGGGAGCTCCGCGCTGCTACCGCCCCCGGCCCGGCCGCGCTTCCGCCCGCGTCAGCTGACTGTGCCCGGCGGCGGCGGCCCGGCCCGGCCCCGAGCCCGCGGAACCTCCGGCGCGGCCACCGCAGCCATGGCGGGGGTCGTGGTGAGCGGAGCACAGGTAGGTGTCCGCGGCCCCACCTGCCGGCGCGTCCCCGCCCCCGGCACCGGGAGCGGCTGTCCCAGCTCCGCGCTGGCTGCCGCCGCTCTGCCGGCGCCGCTCCCGGTCAGTGGGGGCGGCGGGCGCGCAGGGGACCGGCTTTAGTTTGCAGCCGCACCGCGCCGCGGGACGCCGCGCAGGTATCGCCTCTGTCGCAGCCGCGCTGTCCCCAGGGCGCCGAAAGGAAAGCGCTGAGCATCCGCCCCGCCCCCGCCATCTGCGGGCGGCCCCGGGGGTGTGCTCAGCGTCCCGCGGCGCGGGGCTGTGCGCCCGCCGTGCGCTCCCATCGCCGGCGGGTAACGGAGCGCCGCTGCCGGCTCCTGCTCACGGGCGGCAGGCGCGGACCCGCGGCTCCCATCCCACCGCCCCTGCTCCCTGCGGCGTGCCCGGCTGCGGGAGGGAGCTGACGGGGAACTCTGCTGACAGTTGTTCCTCCTGAAAGTGAACGCTCCGTCCGTTTCGTTTTGGTTAGAGAGAAGTTGGGAAATATAACACATCCTGCTGGCCTTTACCCAGTGCCTTGTGTGGCTACTAAGAAAAATTCTGGCTAAAAGTTGATGACTTAAGTGCTGAACCTGTGGCTAAAATAGAACTTTTTTTATTCCTCCTCCTTAGAGAATAAAGGAAGCTTGTCTTATTTTTGTAAATGGTTTGCCATTAAACCAGGGTTCTCTCCATCTAACTGCTTCCTTGATCTGATCACTGTTTCTGTGTAGAATTAATTTAAATATGCGTGTGATATGAAGGCAATTGGCTCATTTTGCAACTGCTGCAGGAAACAGTTCCTGTGGTCTCTGTGGTGCACTCAGGCACTGAGGACATGCTGCCTTCTYCCCCTGAGCATGCCTTTAGGCCCTTAATTTGGCCATGTGCCCACCATACAATCTTTTAACAGCAGAGAGTAGGATGTAGTGCTCAGCTGACTGGAAATATTCTCCAGATATGATTCCCTTCAATGGGAGAGAATATGCAGTATTGGGACTTCATACCTGACCTTTTTGGTGACATTCCTTAATAAAGATGTTATTCTATGGGTTATTAAGATTACAGTATCATTGGAAAATGATCACAGAGATTAATGATAATATCCTCTGAAACTAAAGCAGAACAGAGATGCAACTGCTGTTGATTGTTAACTTGTATTTTAAATATTTTGTAAAAACATATCTTTTTCCTGAGTTGCATACAGTGTATTGAAGAGTCTGCAAGAATATCTCAGGCCTACATAGCCTATCTGATGCTGGCCTTTGTGGGAAATGGAACATTCTGGTGGGATATCGAATAGGGCACCAGTAATAAGAATGACTGACTGTGACCAACCTGTGCTATATTTGAGTTGGAGAATTAGGCAATAGAAACCTTTGCATCCATGATATTCTGTGACTGGTATAGAAAAATCTAAGAAATCTGATGTGCCTTGCAGCCAAAGAGCTGGAGTCTTGGGAAAAATGTGCTTGCTCTCATCTCAGTGGTGATGTCTCTGGATATGTGCCTGAAAGCTCATGCTAACTTTGAAGGTATTTGAGATGGAAGCAAAAGTAAGAATACTGAATTATGTGCATTTTATTGTTTCCTGAGTAAATGATTTTGAACTGAAAAAATGAAAATGAAGAAATGTTCTTCTTTTCTTGTCCAGACTATTGAAGTCTTGTTTTATGTCAGTGTTGTTCAAAGACTAAAGAGCAAAACAGTGGGGAAATAACTCTGGAAAACTTTTTCAAAAAGGCTTATAATGTTTGGATTGCTGGCAGTTGCTGTTGTTATTTCTGTAGAATTATTTGATATCTGAAGCAAATTCATGTGTATGGAGTGTAGAAGTATGAAGTTGAATGCCGTTTGTATGTTTTCTGGAAAAATAAATATTTGTTTTAWATTGAAATACGCTCTTGTACAGTGAATGTGCTGAACTCTGTGGAAGTAAAATGCCTTTACAAGGGCTCAGCATTAAAAGACCACGATAACAATACATGATCTGCAAATGTGCCTGTGAATAATCTGTTTGTACCACTTGTAAATATATTTGCATATTGTAACAGTTTAAAGGCTGAAGCTTTGCAGCATGTTATGTATTTTGCTTCCTGTGWGCTCTAAACCACGTTTGTATGGACCTTTTTCTTCAACTTCTGTTCTTGTGGAGCTAGAGCACTTATGGCCAGGTAAGTTTCTGAAGCAGTGTAGTAGGCCAGAGTGCCCTGCTCCTTCTCCGCTGCTGCTCCCTGGSTGAAAAGCAAAGTGAGGGTCTGTGCTCTTGCTATATTTGTAGTTGCTCAAGACAGTCTTTCCCTCCTAGTGTTAATGGGCATCATATTTTAGTAATTTCTGTTTGAATGTCTTACATTGAACCAAATGCTTAATCCAAAGTATTATTAAGCTGTTAATGTGATGTCTTTCAAATGGCTTGCAAGCATTAATTTAAAGAAATCAACCATTCAGGGAAGAATGAAACAATTCTTTCATACATACCTTTGTGTGTATTGTAAAATGCATCGTAATTATCTTAGATGTAAACTGGAGGAAAACCCTGACATATTTAATTCAGTAAAGTCTGCAAAACATTTTCTGTTACACCAAACCATTAGGATGCTAACTACCCAAACCAGTTTCTTTTCCTTTTGTCCTTATATTTGCTGAAGTCATGTGTGTCTGGTACCAGAATATATTGCAAGAGCAGGTCTGATTTAACAAGGTGTAGAAGTTGTTAAACTGAGCTTCAAGCTACCTGTTTTCTGCTCATAAAAATTATGTCACTGTTGTCAGCTTTATCTGTTAAAGTTATTGAACAAAATGAATTAAATGGGATGCCATATAGTATTATCAGATGCAATCGTTTTTAGAGCGTAGGAGACCAGGTTGACTTGCAAAAGTACATACTGTCAGTCTGTTCTGCAGAGGAGTCTCTGTTTGAGCAGAAGTATCAAAACAAAGTTTGATGGACTTTTTTTTTTTTTGCATATTTTTCATCTAACATATTTTAGACTAGTGGAATATAGTATTGAAATTGACTTCATATTAAACATGTAGGTAATAACATTGTTGTATAGATGGTGATCTAACACAGTGCTTGACCAGCAAGTTGGCTATTAAGGGAAACTAAGATTGCCATGGCACAAAATCTGAAATGTCAGTGTTTTGAACCCTGAAAGGATTTGCCCATATAGATGTATAGAATTCTTGACAATAGTTTTGAAAAGCTTTGTGGGGTTTCTTTGAAGAAATCAAACCAATGACTTAAAACAGTATAGCAGAAATAATAGAAAAAGTTTAGCTGCTTTACTTTTTGTGTTTTTCTGGAAATATGATCACTCACTTCATCCTCACTAAAAGCAAATAAAAACAAACAGAAATTGAGTAAACTGGGTTTTTTTTTTTTTTTTTGCTACTACTAATTCATCCTGGGTTTGCTTAAGGTGGTGTGGTATGAAAAAGAAAAAAGGCATTTACAAATATGTGAGGGGTAAGGAGAAACGTGATCTGGTCATAGGTGGTGAATTCAGAAATCTTTGAGATTTCCATGACAGTCTGAAAAGAAGCTGCATGCTTCATTTTTCAGGTTATGGGCAGCCCTCTTGCTCTGTCCCTGGGATGTAACAGTAATAATCTTCTCGAGGAATGGTTGGGAGAATGGATTGGCACTGCTTAGGTATTTCTGCACCAAGATTTAAAAAACAATCTTTGTTTGTTGTATATGGAGGGCCAAACTGAAAGATCTTTTGGATGGCTTCTGATCCTTCAAACAAATTTCTTCTGGAATGGTAATCAGAATGGTAATCAGAAGTAGTAGTAGATCAAAGTATTAACAGTGGAACAGAAGAAATGTGATACATTTAATCAAAATATTTTTACCTGGAAGGAGACAAAACGTACATAAAGACTATAGATGTAATAAAGTTTTAAGTTGATGGTATCATCAGGAAAATGAAACTGTATGATGCATTTTATAGCTGTAAAATGTATGTATTTTTTAATCTGTAATGACAACTCTCTGTATTGCACGTTATCATTTTTTCAATGAGACACAATGTGGACAGGAAACTAAACCTACTCATGAAATGTTTCCTGGTTGCTTCCAATTCTCAGGTGTCCTACATTAGTCAGGACTGTGAAGAAATTCCAGAATTCCTAGGAAGAAAATATGGACATATGGCAAAAAGGCTGGATCTTAGCTTCAACTTGTTAAGGTATGTGGCAATATACAGGTTTTTCAAGTGCAATGTGCACTTTCATGTGCAATACCAACTCTTAAAATAGATTTTTTTTTCAAAGTAGAAGCATAAATATGTTGCGTACATTTAGTTGTTATCAAGTGGATGATACTGTTTTATAGTTAATGTTTGTCTCCTTTTCTTCCACACTTGGAGCACAAATAACCAGGTGAGTCTGGAAAATTATTATGTGTTAACATAAATTATGCCCRTTGAGAAGCTTATGGTTTGTTCTCTGCTTAAATCGGAAAATAAGCGTTGTTACCTGAAGAAGTGAAGACTGGGATCAAAAGTGAATTTTCCTTGACCAAAACACAAGTAAGTGTGTGCTTCTCTCCCTTTTAAAAAWTTTTATTTATGGATCTCTGGTTATTACTATAAATGCTTTATAATGCTCTTTTCCCAGATCATGAATTTTGTTCTATGATTTTATTTTTGTGCGCCTGTGTAGTTAAGTGCTAAAGCTAAGGGCAGTTAGATTTTGTAATTCCTTCTAAGTATTTTAATATATGGATTGATTTAGGATTCTGTAATATTCCTGTTAGTTACTACAGTGTCCCATTTCATTTAATCCTTACAAGAGAACCTGGAGAGGTAAATCATAGTATCTTTCCAGTTGAAAAATCTGCAGGTAAGTAGGAAGAAAGGATTGGAGTGTAATTGTCTGTTTAATAAAAAAATAGGTTTGTGGAGGTAGGGTTGGACTCATTGACTCATTTTCCTTTTATTCGGTTGGGGGTGAGCTCAGAATCTGCTTGTGAGGAGTATTACAAAAAATATTATGCTGGTGTCTTGTTTTCCTAGAAGAAACAGCCACTGATTTTAACTTACCAAACACTCATAGATGTTCTTCTGAGCCACTGTCAACTCTGACGGACTGAATCCTACAAGTAAGAAGTAGCAGAGCAGGATTCACTAAATCTTTGGATTGTTGTTATGTTATACTATGTTATAYTATGACTCTCTACCTTTGGAAATTATAATCAGGAAAGAGAATTTTGCTGGGGGAGGGGATTAAATGGTAAYTTTTTTCATTTTGTCATGAAGATAATTCAAGGTCTGTATGTGTATTTAGATTTATCATGTTGTTGACAAGATTGCTCCTTTACATTTCTGGGAAAAAATTGTTTCTTTCAGTTAATGCATGATTTGAAGAACAGTTCTCTGGATTTATTTCATRAAGTAAAATAATAACATTAAATTTGGATGTAAAATACTACTTTAAAACTCTGAATATATTTTCAYAGAGAGCACAATTGGTGGTGTATTTCTGAAATCTGGGTTTTCTTTCCTTCTTTCCTTCCTACCCAAAGCACTATCACTTAGCCTGTTTTTCAAAAGGGATACAATTTGGTTTTATTGAGATTTGGGGGAGAACAATCAGCTTGTGATGTAGGATAATTTGCAGCTGTAAATCTGTAAAAGTATTTTAAGACCAGAAATCAGATTTGGGGAAAGGGGAGAAGAGGATTTGAAGAGGATTTTTCTTCCCTTTCTTTTTATTTTATTTTTATTTTTTTTTTTTTGGGGAAAGGGGAGAAGAGGATTTTTCTTCCTTTTCTTTTTATTTCTTTCTTTTTTTTTTTTTAAATATTTTTTTTCCTTTTTTGCTTTGGTAAGCTAATACTAAATAGGATGAGAGCAGCAATGGTTTCTCATTTGAGCAGTGATAGATTTACAAAGCAAATAGAAACTAAGAGTGAAATATTTATGGTATTGTAGCTGTTCAGACTGGTGTGCACTGCTATATAAACCCTGTACCAGCATATTATAGMGAAAGTCAGATAAGATATAGGACAAATATCCTATCTTTAAATGATTGTGAATACACAAGGATGTCTTGGGTAGCTGTTTAGGCAAGTGTAAGCAGTGGCTTCTCCTTTAAACAGGTATTTTTGCTTAAAAATCTAACAATGTTGTAGTATAAGGATGAGTTTTCTAGCTTTTTTTGTAAGCGAATGCTTAATTTGAAACATTTAATATGTTGTTTTCAGTGGGTAAACAATGTCTACAATTAATTTAATTAAAAAGGAGGTTGATCTTCTAGTRTAACTTGCTATCTGTTGGTAAAGGTGTAAGTTGAATAAAAAAGACCAAAGGTGATCAAAATATAGGAAAAGATAAAGAGAATACTGTGTTTTGCTAGCAGGGTAGTTATTTGCAGTAAGGATGTATGTTTTCATTATAATTTGATGTATTTTTGGATGAGARTTTGTGTATTTTTTGAAAGGAAAAAGGAAGACCATATGTTCTTATGTGTGGTGGTTTTGTTACTYATATTTCTGTGGTTATTTTCTTTTTGCTTGTGATGTATCCATATAATGGAGGAGGGGAGGGTTGTCACTTGTTCTTTTGAACTGGTCATTTAATACAGAGGAAAGTGTATATTTTCCACWATTTTTCTCTGACTTCATAATTCTTCCCAGGCTAGAGCCCCTTCCTCTTTCTTAAATAAAATTTAGGGCCTATGTAGATGCTTAATTACACAGACAATTAATTGTGTTTGCATCGGATGTGTTAAATCTAGTAACAGCACTTGATACATAATCACAAAAAGTTGCTTTTGTGTCTTTCTTGTTTGCCTTTTTCCAAGAACTAGTGTCTCTCCTTGCTTGCCCTGAGCAGTACATGGATCCAGCTCTTTCTTCTGCCGGTCAAACTGATTGTTACAGGATTACACATCTCCCCTTTTCCCTGTGAGGGAAAGGCAAGAAAGAGGTGAAAGGTACAAGGGAACTTATGGGAATGTTGTGAAATAGGAGGATTTGTTGTGCAAGAGGCCAAGGGGAAAAGTAATGTATACTTAGAAGAGGCTGTGTGTAATTGGCAAGTTGTGGTGCTGCTGGATTGACTCCTGCCTACACCTCTGGCAGACGGAAATCCTTCAATCCCAGACAGCTAAAGAATGGTGGCTCAATTCTTCTTGTGCCATTTTCCTTACAGATTTTGTTTGAATACTTTCTAATATCTTTKGTTTCCCTTTGGGGCTAAGGCGGGGCTGTGAAGAAGATGGAGCCAAACTCTTGTCAGACGTAGTGCAAAAGAGCAAGAGGCAGTTGTCACAGCTGCAGCAAGGGAATTTCCAGCCCCCACGGGGAAGGTGGATTGGAGGATGTGCCTAGAGAGGCTGTGGAATCTCCATCCTGGGTATTAGTGCAACAAAACCCCAAGCAACCTGATCTAACTTTGAAATCCTCCTRCTCTGAGCAGRGAATTGGACTAGATGATCTCYAKGTGCCCCTTCCAACCYGAGTTRTGCTGTGATTCTGCAGYTTTATTGRTGTAATAATGGYCTGAGTTGTAGAAGCTCTTTTCATTTGATAGTGATTTTCAGCTATTTTAGAAATTRACTATTCACATTGTGTGTTTTCAGTAAGGCATATTTCAGGAGCAGAGGTGTTTTGCTTTGGAAATCTGCTCCTGAGCCTCTCATGGCAACTGCATTTGATAGCCTTCCCTAGTAACAGTCCTTTCATAATATGTGGCAAACATTCCCCAGTTCTCMTTTTGTGAAGGCATAGAGTATGGGAAGAAGAGACACTGATCTGTTAATGTTAATGTTACCTGGAGACTTTGTAAAGGATTTCAAGGTGGAATGAAAAGCTATTGATCATTGAAAGTTAAAGACTTCATTAAAAAAAAAAAACAAACAAAAAAACAAACCTGAGTAGTAATCACTGGTGAAGGAAAGAAGGCAGTAAGTGAGTAAGAAAGATGTAATGGAGGTAAGGAGTAAAGATTTGGATAAAATTCAAGGATTTTAGTTTAGAGGTATCTTGCTGTCTTGTGGGAAGGGAAAAACCCCAAACCCCCATCACTTATTCAAAGCATTTTTTTACTTGTCCTAGATCACTTTRTTCAAAATTTTTCCTTCCACGTAAAAGGCTAAATGCACTCCAGAATAACAGATATCAGTAGTTTTGTGCAAATAGGTGCCATGCTTTCATAAATAACATCTACAGTTCAATTCACTGAGAAGTCCATCTTGTAATTTTATCCTTAGTACTTTAAAAACATCYAAGTTGTTTTCCTTTTTCTTACAGAGATTTCTTCTGGGTCTAAGCTATGAGGTGAAAGGGAGAGTGAATCTTTAATCTTGGCCAATGAGGAAGGATTAATCCAATAATTGTGCTCATGGAGATACAAATATCTCTTCCCTCTCTCTAGGGTGCAGATTATTTCTGCTAGGAGCATGAATAATTTGCACAGTATGTGCTTGTGCATAATTTCCTCTGTCTGATAAAGAAGGTGTATGTATGAAAACATCCCCTTGAACTTCAATCCTAGTCTGGAATGTTCYTCCATGACTTTTGTGAAGCTGAGGCTTTGTAATATCTTCTCTGTGGACTAGGTATTGTTCTTTCTGTCTTCTGCCTCCTGTTTCTTTGCCTGGGGGAATATGCAAGTGGCAGCCTGAAAATGGGCTTCAATTTTTACATGGCATGTTCCTCTTTGTAAGTTGAGAATGTGAAAGAGGCATTTTTTTTTTTTTTCCTTGCCACCTTCCCGGTCTGTGCAGCACTAAGACATGCAGAACAGGAAGATGAACAACAAAAGAGAGATGGAAATAAAAGCCAGAATTCAAAATAAAGCATGACATATTTTTTTAAAGCCTTTAGACTCATCTTTATACCACTTTAAAATGTTGATGAAAATGCACTATTGTTAAAACTTTTTGATGGTTTTATTTATAAGGTAGAAAAATATTTTCACCGTAATTGGGTAACTCTTAATCGTAGCAATTGCATATTTATCAGTATGAGGGGCTGTTATTAATGTAGCTGTCATGCACAAACACATTTCTGCATTAAATCCATTTAGTATGTGCATTATTCGGTCTAGAATGTCACCAGGACATCAAAGCCCCCTTAGGCATAAGAGCACAGTGCCCTGCTGTGGCTGCAGAAAGGGCTTGATCAATAAATGTAACATGTTAATGCAGAGCAAATAGAATAAAAGATTTCTTTGACAAGACA